TGAAGAGGCGCGGTACCGAATGATCCGTACACGAGACCATTAGAGCTCACTACTGGTCTCCAACCGCTTTTTGAAACTGGTAGTGCCTGGAAAGAGATTATACAATTTTAGACAAGATACATTGAATGTTTAGTACTGTAAAAAAACTCTTTGATTATTTAGGGCAAATGTAGTTATAATTACAAAATATATGTACCCCATGAGATGCTGAGCGTCGATGATGTTTCTCGCAACCCGCAGTCAGTAACAGAAGCTGTAGGGTCGCCGCGCACAGCCACACCTCAAAACCTGGAATGTTTAATTAGCGAATTATAAATAAATAAAACACCTGGAGCTAAAGTATGATTTTTACATTAAATCAAAAAGTCTTTATAAAATTAAATTAATTCTCAACCGGATTTCTTATTTAATTAAACATGATTCTGTTTTATTATCTGCGACAATCGCTTTATAACGACCTGATTAAAGTAATTTATTCGTCACGTTGTTGTTTTCACTCGATTTAGATATACATTATTACTTTCTTCATTCTATGTTTTATTAAAATGTAATTGTGTTTTGTGTGATAAGATAATTAGTAATTCAGCCACCATTTAGTTAAAGTTGACATAATTTTAATTAAGTAGGAATGGCGACTGGTCAGCTATAAAAACATCGAAACCGACACCACATGAGTGGAGTAAGGTTAGGGAAATAATGATTTAGATATCAAATATAGAAGCAGTTCATCAACATTAAAAAATAAAGGAATATAATTATTATTCTTCTATCGAATTGTTATATTAAACAGCTGAGTCCTATGTCTAGATTAAGTTATAGAGAAGATTGGGTCATGACCTAGCTGGAGTTTTAGTTTTAAGTGAATTTTCCGTCACATAAACAGTTCCTTATACGATTGAAGGCGATGTATGAAAGTCGCACGGCATTATTGAATTGCCGGTTGTTAGTTGTCAACTGCAATTTGCAATATTTCCCGTATGTGAAAGTGAAATTCAACGCTTGTCATTTAAAAGACAATAACTGAGCCCGTGGGAACTGGCGAAACAGACCATGTTTTGTCATTATATACTTCCGACTCCTTGATTGTTATGTATATACACATACATATACATAAAAAATCATACAGTGATCTACAGGACAGTATGTATTCCACATGTATTTTAAAAATAAAATGAAATGTAAAATTTAGTTGCTCACATTTGTGAAATTCTCAATTTCAGATGTCAAAATTACCGTTACCATAATAACCTTGCTTCCTTGATGTTGGCAGCTTGTAGTTTATGATCTCTTTCCCACATGAAGGTTTTTTACCAATTTATTTATCCCTTAAGTTTAATAGCGTAAAAATATATAGCCTAAAGCGTGTCGTAAGTGTAGGACTTTTTATTAAAAAGAGAATCATACAAAAATATGCTGTAATTGCTGACATCCTACGCCACAAAGTGTGTGTTTACGCTATATGTTATAGTATAGATTAGTATAGAATTATCGATGTAACACAGTCTGAAGTTAAGTTTTTTTTTTTAATAATAAAAACCTTGCGGCAATTCAAATTATATGTGGTATATTCTTGAGGAACAGTCATTGACCTGTCTGCATACTGCATTCTTCATATATTAATGGTAATGGTCTATGAGTTCTGTTCTATGGACGTCTTAAACAAACTTTCCACTGTAAAACAAAAACGTCTATTGACCGTGCGTTAGTTCTCATATGGATGTGGAAGTAAATAAAACAGACAAAAACTCGGTCGGACAGGTTTTCCGTATCTAGAGCGTGTCAGAGTATCGGCTGACCGAGACGGCGCACGGTTTTTATTCCCACGATTGCTTGCAGAATCTGTTATTAAAGTCCTTTCTTTGTATAATAATTTAATATAAAAAAGTAATTTCCTTTTCCTTTATTGGTAATGTTTCCTTTTATTGTGAAATGTACGTGAGATTTTTAATGTAGAGCAAGATATATTATGAAATTAAGTTATCTTACTTATGTATATCATAAATGCCTTTAGATGGATGGACAGATTATGATGAAATTTGTTATAAATGTAAAGAATAGTCTGCAAGAACACTGGCTACTCATTTTTGTTTTTTTTATTCCACGCAGACGGAGTCGCGGTCCAAAGCTAGTTGGTTTAATATTTTAACTCTCGATACAAACGTTCCGGAATAATGAAAATCCTACACGCAAGTGTAACTGTTAGATGGATTAGAGTTACCTTAGCCTTTGGAAGTAGAAATAAAAGTCTAACGTAGAAGCTAATGTCCCTCAAACCATGACGTAAAAAGTTCATTGCATAATAATTTTAAAGTGCCATTAGAAATTAAGGTTCCGTATAATACGTACGTTATCACTTTCTAACATTACGTGCATCGTCCTACGTGACGTTGAATACCATAGTTATGGTCACCATACTCCTTGTGAATATTTATTATCGTACCCGGACTTTTCGGTTACGAAAGTTGCCTAATTGTGATATTGGTAATTCTAATCGGATATTGCACTTCGCCCTCGGCGTCGCGTGTGTCACTAAATAATAAACGTATTTGTTCAAAATATTCTCTTTATGTGCGTCTCCTCCTCCGTCGTATAAGGGTAGGCAACGCATCTGCAATTGCGGATGTCTATGGTCAGCGGTCGCTTCGCCATTTTGTCGGTTTCAGGCGGCCGCTTGCTCGTTTGCCACCTTGTGTTATAAAATAAAAAAAAATAATGTAATCAGAAAATATTTCTTAAAGTAAAAGAGTACTTAAAGCATTTTACAGTACCCATATAGTAGAGTTTATTATGCGGAGCTTAAAAATATCTTTCCTCTAAATGAATCAGTCATTTTGAATAGATTTTTTTTAGTATAAGGTGAAAAACCAACAAGCGGTCCCCAAAATTTGCCAAAAAATCGAAGCAGACGCTGCCCAAAGACATCCGTATTTGCTTGTTACCTGCCTTTAATCAACAAAGGATGAGACGTACTGAAAGAAGATATATCTATATGCGTCCCATTCCCCTCCGAATCCACTGAACTCATTGGCTCTATTTGTTATTAGGCAATAAATAATAAAGCACGACATATATGTAACAATTATTTTGTAATAGTTATTGTTATATTACCCGGACAGTACTTTTAAGGTTTGTTTTTATGACAGTAGTTAGTAATAAAACTATGATGTCTTATTTGGTGGACTTTACGTGTTACGTTTTAGTGAAAGTGAAACTATTTTTGACATTAGGGTCCTGTACATTTACAATATTACGTCTAGATTGTTCTATTTCTGGATGTTTATTACAGTTAAATAGGCTTACCATAGTTACAAAGTTTTTCAGTTGATAATTTATAAAATTTCAGTATACTACACTAAAAATAACACTTAAGCGATCGTGTAAAAGTTAAATCAAATTTCATGATATATTATAAATGCGACATTTAAATGGGTAGTTGTTATTACGTATCTCTAAAAGGATTGAACGAATTTCGATTAAATTTGTTACAGATGTAGAACATAGTCTGGATGAACACATAGGTTACGTATTTTTTTTTAAAATCGCGCGAATGAACTCACCGGCAAAAGTAAAATAAACATTTGTTCTTTAGAGTTATTCATGTCAAGTAGTAAAAGATGTTGCTATTTGGATTAATAATATATTAGTATCTAAGCAGCGTCCGTGTACCGACCTCGTTGGTGATGTGCCAGTAACGAAAGTTACAATCGGAACTTTTCTATTGAATAATTACAGATTAGTGATAAAAGTAGGTAACATTCATACAACTTATGTATCTGTGTTTGGGTTTGTGTGGCGAGAAAAAAATGAATAAGTAAATTTTAAATTCTATTACACGAGATGGGAACTATTTAATTGTTGAGTATTTTCAGTAATTTTAAAAAAAAAATCTTTTTATGTATAACTCTCATCTTATTTTGTAACCATGTATTTTAAATTCCGCAAGATAATCGTTAAAAGAAGACGCTGCCTTCTGAAACACAGTTATTACTAGCTCAGGAGACAGAGTCCCACGAACTGTACTAAACTGTTTTAGTTCAATAAAGGATTTTCATTTTTTTTTTTATTAATGCGTCTACTTGAATGTCTGTAGCTACATGGGCGTTGCCAGCTAGGTATTGGGGTCGTGGAGGTCATTAACATGGTCTCTAAGCTCTACAACTCTTTCCTTAGACAACTTCTGGCGGAACCCATATTTATTATAACTATGACTACGCCCTCACTATGTTTATCGTATTTCAATTCATCATCATCATCATTACCAGCTCACTATATGTCCCCACCGAGGGGCTCGGAGCCTACCCTAAAGTTAGAGTGACTAGGCCATAGTCAACCACGCTGGCCAAGTGCGGGTTGGCTGACTTCACACATATCTTTGAATTTCTTCGCCGATATGTGCAGGTTGCATCACGATGTTTTCCTTCACCGTAAGCACGTCGGGTAAATTATGTACATATGAAAATTCGAAAAATCGAAAATCACATTGGTACATGGCGGGATTCGAACCCAAGACCCCTAGATTACATGTCAAGTGCTTAAACCACTGAGCCACCGACGCTCTATTTCAATTCGTATACAGTTAATTCGTGTGTACAAGCACATTTAGGTGACATGGTGCACGGGAGCTGCGCACGCGCCGCGCCGCTGAGCCACCGACCGTGTCGGGTTTCACTCGAGCTATTCGACGCGAGAAACCAACAGATACATTTTTATGCTCTTATCTCGCTCGAGAGAGCACGCTCAGGCCAATATGGCTACGGGAAACAACGGGATCATATTCTACTCGTATATTCACGTTATGGTAACAATTTAAAAACCTTAGTAATTTCGTTTAGCATCAATAGCCTAATAAAGTAAGGAAATCTGATCTTAAAGTCGTGTTCAAATCCTGCTCTTCGAATATTGTCGTCAATCGTTTTATAGCTCGATTAAAATGGTTAACGTTTGTTTAACCTCGAATTGAAACAAAGTTTTTTATGGTAAAAGCCCACATTGAAGAAGTTGTAGAGCGTGCAAGCGAGCAATACGGCACTGTCACTGACGTATAATGAACATTCATGCGAATCATTGCTCCAACAGAGAAATTTCTTCACGCTTGTTTTGAAAATCACTTGATATCATTTTTATTTCATTATCAACATATAATTATTGATTTTACTTTCACTTTAATATTTTTTGCAATCATGTAGATTAAGATGTTTGTTAAGATTTATTTAATGAATGCAAATGTTTGTATTAACGATAATAAAATTAGTCTCGATTACTAAATAAGGTTTATTAAGAAATGTGTA